CCGCTCAGCAGCCCCTCCAGCATCACACAAAAGTGGGAGCCCGTCTCCAGAACAGCCCCATCTCAGGCCCTCGCTTCTCTCCTTGCTCCTGCTTTCTGCCTGCCTGTCCTCACCCTGCTGGTCTCCCAAAGCCGGGAAGAGACGCCCCGTAGCCTCACTACCTCTGACCCTCGAATCTGTAAAATGTCACTTAAAACCAAGCCTCTGTTTTTCCTTCTAACTCTTTATTTGCCTCTCCTTCAGCTATTCCAATGGCATAACATAAATTATAACCATATTCTATGAATCTTTACATATTTGCTGTAGATTTGAGAGGAGCCTTTGTAGCTGCCTGGTTTGGATATGTTCCCTGATGCCCTGCCAAGGCGTCAGCGCTCTGGAGAGACACTGGGGATGCACTAACACCAGGAATCACCGCAAACTGCTCCCAGCTTTTATGCATGTACACAAACGCTGACACGGGAGGTAGATGTGGGGCCAGGTTCTGCTCCCCACACCGTGCCGGCCCAGAGCGATGGCAGGGCAGGCGAGCTGGGACGTGCCACGGGCAGGCACAGGATCCGACCCTTTCTGCTCTCAGCTGTAGTAGTCATAGGCCCAAAGCAGATTAATTCTCATTCCCCATCTTTAACAAAGGACACCTTTCCCTGGCCTCCCCTGCCCGTCCCTGCCTTCCCACCGCACATGCACTGAGCCTATTAGGATCTCCGCTGATTGCTTTCTTTCATTTCTCCCATACCTTTCACTTCACAAAATGGACTGGTAATACTTCTTTTATCAAAGAATTATGGGATTTAGGACCCAGATCTTACAAAGAGACTTTTGATAGCTGCTGGTAATCAAATCCCAATCGGCAGACACTTCTCTGCACCCTGTTACCGGAGAGGAATAAAGGAAAGGGATTATTGATGTTCTGTTTACTGAGCCTCCAGGAGATAGGATCGCTGGGCTATTTCATATTAGAAAAGGAAAGAAAAATAAAACAAGAAAGAAAAAAATGCAGACAAGGGAGGACAATATAGATATAGATAAAAAGAAAAGAAACAGGCTCTTATCATTTTCTTATTGGTTAAGGAGATTCCAAAGCCATTATAGAGGATTATCAAAAAGGTTAATCTGCTTTAGCCATTCACTTGTCAAAAGTGAATTTATAGGGTTTGAAAATCCTTCCTCTGGCGAAACCAGAAAATATCCCCCTCTCTCTCTCCTGCCCCTCCCTTCTGCAGGCAGCACAAGGGGATGGGAACGCGAGCCTCGGAGACCCTAAAACATGGGACCACCTTCCCTTGCCTTGCCCCTACCTGGCACTTGCACCCATAGGAGCCCTGGTTTGGCAGTGCTTCCTCCTCTCCCTCACCCATGTGGGGTGTCTGCGGAGTTCAGGGAGCAGAGGAGAAGGTCTGAGGGACGTGACCATCCTCCCACACGGCTCTGCCTTACCTGGGGCAATGCTGGGCTGTTGCACCGCTTGATATTGGCAGCAGTCAGGGCAAACCTGGACTCCTGGCTGGATTTGGGCATCCAAGTTAATTTCTAAGGCAGAACAGAGATGGACGCTGCTGGCAAATGTTGCCAAGAACCCCAGGCTGGGTCTTATCCGTCCCCAAGCATAGCGCTCAGCCAGGGAGCCACATCTCAGCATCCTCCCGGTCACCCAGCACAGACACTGGCCTGTCGCAGCCGTGCTCTCCTGGGCTGCCCATGCCGCCGATTCACCGAAGGAGCCAATGCCCACCGCTCGCCCCAGCACCGCCGTGAGAAACAACCCAGGGGAAAAACAATCCTTCATGGTCAAAACCAGCTAGGAGCACTTTCTTGATCGTTGCTGGGTGAAGTTCAGTGTGATGTGTTAGTCAGGAGTTATACCTACGTTTAATAAAGACACAGAAATCATAGAACGGTTTGGGTTGGAAGGGACCTTTAAAAGTCATCTAGTCCAACCTCCAAATTGTGCCTATCAAAGGAGTTCAACCCTGTGAGAAAAAGAATCCAAATAAACTCGTTTGGATTTGATAACTGACATCAAGTGTTATAACAAATCTCTTTCTCTCTCTCCAAAGGCCGTTCCATCCTGCGGGAAGAAGCGCAGTTGCTCCACCGGCCGTAAGGGATGTTGGCCAACGGGGACGGTACCCACGGCGTGGCAGGAGGACTGTGCGGGACCAGACCTCCTCCGACGCGGTGAGGCACGATGGACCGAGCCGGCGATTCCGCCCTGCAGCATCTCGTGAGGCGTTTCAGAGCTCTTGCAGCCACAA